TTCTTCTTCTTCTTCTTCTTCTTCTTCTTCTTCTTCTTCTTCTTCTTCTTCTTCTCCTCCTCCTCCTCCTCCTCCTTCTCCTCTCCTTCTCCTTCTTTCCTTTCCTTTCTTTCTTTTTATTTTTTTAAAAGATTTTATTATTTATAGTGTATTATTTATTTATGTAAACCTGCAGGTCAGAAGAGGGCACCAGATCTCAGTATAGATGGTTGTGAGCCATTGAGCTCAGCACCTCTGGAAGAGCAGTCAGTGCTCTTAACCTTTGAGCCATCTCTCCAGGCTGCTTTCTAAGTCTGGAACAGTCCTTTCCTCTCTTGGCCTTGGAGTGTGCTGTTTTGGGGAGTTGAGGACCCTGCTAAGCAAGGAGAGACCACTTTGCCCAGTGAAAATCTGGTCAGGAATCCTGGGTCTGGGCTGCGGGCCTGCTTTCTATCTCTGGGAAGTGACCACATAGACTTTTTATTCTTGTTCTGTCGCTGCATGGTTTGACTGATATGAAAATGCAACTGTGTGGGAGGAAAACAGAATCTGTAGTAGGACATGTGAGCATTAATTGTGCTGTGTGGAGTGTGGCTAGATACGGCTCTAAGGCAGGCATGGCTACACAGGCCCATGCTAGTTTTCTTTTCTTTTTTTCTGGGTTTTTGGAGACAGTGTTTCTTTGTGTAGCCCTGGCTGTCTTGAAACTAGCTCTGTAGACCAGGCTGGGCTGGGACTCAGAGATTCACCTGCTTCTGCCTCCCGAGCACCGGGATCAAAGGTGTGTGCCATCATTGCCTTGCTGCTATTTTCTTTTTAAGGTGTGCAGTATGTGCCAGAGCATGAGCACATCCATCCTTTCATCTCTTCTTCTTTCATTTTTCGATACAGGGTCTCATTATGTATAGATCAGAACAGCCTGGAACTCAGCCTCCTGATTGCTGAGAAAAAAGGCTTGTGCCACCCCACCCAGTGAACAGCTAATGACTCTGGTTGTTTGAATGAGGCTCATACATTTGAAAATTTGACACCCAATATTGTAGAACAGTTTGGGAATCTACTACAACCCTGTGGCCTTATTAGAAGAGGTATTTCACTGAGGCTGGGCTTTGAGGTTTCAAAAGGTCACCCCAGGCCCAGTGTCTTTCTCTGCCTCCTGCTTGGGGATCAGAGGTGAGCTCTCAGCTACTGCTCCAGGACCATGTCTGTCTGCCACCATGCTCCCGCCATGCTGGTCATGCACTCATCCTCTGGAACTCTAAGCAAGCTCCCAGTTAAATGCTTTCTTGTGTCAGTTGCCTTGGTCGTGGTGTCTCTTCACAGCAGTAGGGCAGAAACCAAGCAGTTGAGTCACCCCTCTCCTGGCTGCTAGCATTAAATGAGAAATAAGTTTCACCTCTTCAGGGTGTCCCCAACACCAGGCAGGTTGCTCACTGATACCCATCATTGTCATACTAGCATATCATGGTTGTTTGAGTCTGGATCCCACAGGTCTCCCATGTTCCATGGACCTCTGTGAGAAAGGAAGAAACTCATGGAGGTCAGTGGCCTCTCTTATCATGCTCTGGAGGCCTGGGCATGGGGATCTGGCTTTTCTGTCTGGTGTTCTCACACTGGAAATACTAAATATTTATGCTTGCTGTGCTCCCAGACTCCATCCCAGGCTTGGGGGGATGGGTGGTTGCCAAGCCTTCTCTCAGTTTCTGTCCTTCCAGCCTCCTCTATCCAGACAGCACAGAGGCCCTCGCAATCCTTCAGGTCTTCCTCAGATTTTGGTGGGCTTGCTGCAGACCTCACTGGAGTCAGCATCTGTGAGAGGTGAGAGTGGGGTAGAAGCTGACACAGGTAGATGCTGTTTGTCTAGAGACTCCTGGTCTTGATTTGGGTGGGTGGGTAGGTGGATGGACCTCAGGCCTCTTGTTTACCCCAGGCTTTGACATGTGCTTGAAGGCAGCCACATGTACCAAAGAGAAGACCCTGCCCAGTTCTTGGGAGCTCCTGCCTGATGAGGGGCTGCTGTTGCTACTGCACTCTGCCTCCATCTCAGAAACTTCCATGGTTCTTGATGGCTCAGAGCAGATCCTCAAGTGCTTTCCTGTCTTCCTGCTCCCTCCCTCCCTCTTCCCTGCCATGCCACTCTCCCAGGCCTCCTTGCTGTTTATTCTTTTCAGCACATCTGAAATGAGATTTAACCCCAGGACCTTTGCACCCACGCTTCTTTCTGAGCTAGCAGAGCAAATATGAGATCCTGAATGCCTGGGAGTGGTGGCATGTTAGTTTGTGAGCTCTGCAGGGCAGGAATATTAACCTGGCTGAAGACACTGTGAAACGTGGCATGGCGGCACAAAATTGGCCATCTAGTGATGGACCAGCCTGGGCTACATAGAGACACCAAGTCTTAACTAGAAATGAGTAGCCCGGCATGAGTGAGGTCTAGGGTTTTACACACACACGCAATTTTCTCCTGAGGAGGAAGCCACTAAAGTTCTGAGGGGAGAGAGATGACCGCGTGTGGCTCAGAAGGGGTCTGGAACCGGGGTTGGATGGGGATTTTGAGTGTAAACACTTGCAGCTTGCTGGATCGGGTGTGATAAAAGGAGAATCTGCGCTGCCAGCTCCAGCTAGCTCAGCTCAGAGCACTGCTGTGGGAGATGAGGCCGGAGGATTAAGACTTCCCCATCCTCCTTGGCTACCTGGGAGCTTTGAGAAGTCTGGGCTAAAACAGACAGTAACCTCCTCCCTCTCCGCTGCAGGTGGCCATGGGGACTGCCAGGCTGCTCACACTGCAGCTGCTGCTCCTGCTAGGCGCTCGGCGGCCCCTTGGAGGCGCTGCGCGATGCCGCGTCACGCTGGTACTGTCCCCGCAGAAGGCGACCGGCGCAGTCTGCAGGAGCTCGGAAGCCGCCCAGGACGGCGAACTGGCCGCGCTGCGCATGCGCGTGGGCCGCCACGAAGAGCTGCTGCTCGCGCTGCAAAGGCGCGCGGCGGAAGGAGGCGCGCTCGCGGACGAGGTGCGCGCGCTGCGCGAGCACAGCCGCGACCTGAACACGCGCCTGGGCCAGCTGCGCGCGCAACTGCAGCAAGACTCGGGGGCGGAGCCTGGCCCGGGGGCGGAGCCTGGCCCGGGGGCGGAGCCTGCGGCCGCCCTCGGCCTCCTCGCGGAGCGCGTGCTGGACGCCGCGGCCGGGGCGCGCCAGACGACGGCGCGCCTGCAGCAGGTGGACGCGCAGCTCCGCGAGCATGCGCAGCTCATGGGACAGCATAGCAGCCTCCTCGGCCGCCTGCAGCGCGCCTGCGCGGGCCCGGAACGGGGCCAGCAGCAGGTACCACGGCTCGGCAGTCACAGTTCCTAATTCCGAAACTGTGCCTGCGGCGCCACCCACTGCTCTTCCGGGTGAACGGCTCAGCCTTTGCACGAAAATATTCATAGACGCCTAGACTCACACGGACTGTCACCATACACAAGGGCTGCATATTTTTTTTTTTAATATTTATTTTACTCTTAATGTGTGTGGGTGTTTTGCCTGCATGCATGCATGTCTGTGCATCACGTATGTGAGCAGTCTCCAGGGAAGCCAGAACTGGCGTTACAGATGGTGGTGAGCCACCACGTGGGTACTGGGAACTGAAGCTGGGTCCTTTTGAAGAGCAGCCAGTGCTCTTAACTGCCGAGCCAGCTCTCCAGCCCCTAAGACAATGTACTCTTGTAATTACATGAGGTTTCTGAATGTTGGGCTGACTTTTGAGACAGGGTTTCTCTGTGTAGCCACGGTTGTCCTGGAACTCACTTTGTAGACTAGGCTGGTCTTGAACTCACAGAGAGCCATCTGTCTCTGCCTCCTCTAACCCTGGGCGCTGGGATTAAAGGTGTGCAGCACCACCGCCATCATCATTATTATTATTATTAATTTGTTTTACATACTAATCGAAGTTTCCCCTGCCTTCTCTCTTCCCAGTCCTACCCTCTCACTTCACCTTCCCGACACCCTCCATGGGAGGCCTCCCATGGCTGTCAACCTGCCTTGACAGATCTAGTTGTAGTAGGACCGGGTGCACTTCCCCTATTGTGGCTAGGCAAGGCAGTCCGGTCTGGGGAGGGGATCCAGGGCCGGCAACAGAGTCACATACCGCTCCTGCTGTTAGCAGCCCCCCATGAAAACCGAGCTGCACCGCTGTTACGTAAGCACAGAGGGCCTAGGTCCATCCCAAGTCCGCTCTCTGTTTGGTGGCTCAGTCTCTGTGGGTTCCTATGGACCCAGGTTCCTTGGTTCTGTATGTTTCCTTGTGCCTCTCCCCCACTCCCCGACAGGGTTTCTCTGTGTAACAACAGGCCTGGCTGTCCTGGGCTTCCTTTGTAGACCAGGCCGGCCTCCCTGAGTGCTGGGATCAAAGGTGTGCGCCACGGCACCCGGTAGTTTTTGTTTGTGTGCTTGCCTGCTTGCTTGTTTTAATTGAGTCTGTGTCTCCTGTAGCCCAGGCTGGGTTCTAGCTCCTTGTGTAGCCGAGGATAACCTTGGTCCTCATGTTCTACCTCCTAGGTGCTGGACAGTCAGACATGGGACAACAGGCCTCGCTTGGGCTGTTTTGTTTTGTTTTGTTTTTTTCATTCCTGTTGGTTTTGGGGTCCCCGGGGCCCTCCAGTGTGAGGTGACTGCTCTACTGCTGAACTGTATCTCCAGGGTTGGCCCTGGATTTTGGATTAGTGATGGTTCTGTAGATTCCCCTACCTTGTCCAAGGTCCATGTGCTCCGGCCCAGCGCATAGCTGCAGTGAAGCGGTGGCCACCAGCATGGTGGGAATCGGCCCAGCTTTCTCTGAGCTCAAAAGCACAGGCTACCCACCTGCACGCAGCAGGCAGAGGCAGGAGGGCTAGCCAGTCGGAGTGAGACCGTTTCTCAAACGAAAAATCAACACAAACCAAGTTACGAAAGGGATGGGGGGGGGACGGCTCAGTGTGGAAGAGCGCTTGCTACGCGAGAGTGAGGGCCTGAGCTCTAACCCCCAGCACCTCGGAAGCCTGGGCCTGCCTGCCTGTGGCGGGCAGACAGGTTGACTGCGGCTTGCCAGCTGCCAGGCTAACTCAAGTGCAGTAAGACACCCTGTCTCAGGAGCAGGGAGCCTGATAGAGCAGGAAACGCAGCCCCTCTTTGCCCTCCTTGCTTGTGTTAGGATGGGTGGTAAAGAGGAGACATCGCCCTGCCTGCTTTTCTGTTTATCCGTTGGGAGGTTTGATCCACCACCTCTTTCACTGCGCCCCCCGCCCCAGGCCGGGGATGCCAGGCCTTCAGCCGAGGGCTAAATGTAATTATGTCTGCCCCAGGTCCTGCCACTGCCCCTGGTGCCTTTGGTTCCTCTGAGTCTAGTGGGCAGTGCCAGCAACACCAGCAGGAGGCTGGACCAAACTTCAGAGCGGCAGCGAGACCAGAGCTCGAGACAGCAGGGGCCTCCATCTTCTCCCCTGCCCACAGGGCAATTTGCTGTCTCCACCAGGCCCATGGGTAAGTCAAGGCAGGCCTGCTGGGAGGTGTGTGAGAGAGATGAGGACACCGGGGCTCCAGTGCTGTGTGGGTAGATGAAAATACCAGAGTCAGGACTGGGCTCACAGTGTGAGGACCAGGGGACAGGGTGCCCTTATCCTGGTAAGGGGCTAAGAAGAAAAGGATTCTTAGCTGGTGTGAGAACAGGCTGGAGATGTGCCTCCCTGGGAGAGCACCACAGTTTGCAGTTGCCTCCCAGAGTGTATAATAGGAAGAGAAAACAAGCATATGGGTAATTAATTTTTTTATTTTTATTTTTTTTGAGACAGGGTTTTTCTGTGTAGCCTTGGCTGCCCAGACAAGCGTTGTTGTAGACCAGGCTGGTCTTGAACTCACAAAGATCCACCTGCCTCTACCTCCCAGAGTGCTGGGATTACAGGTGTGCTGGATTACCAGGTGTGTGCCGCTGTCCCGGCTTTTTGAGACAGGGTTTCTCTGTGTAGCCCTGGCTGTCCTGAAACTTGCTCTGTAGACCAGGCTGTAAACGGATGCGCCATCACTGGAGTACTCTTATTTTGATGAGGGCATGAGAGATTAGGACTGCTACTCTGGTGAGAGGTTGGCTCACAGGACCATGCTTCTTGAGAGAAGAGGGACTGGTGAGAAAATGGCCCTTCCTCAGGTGATGACAGAAAAGACAGAAGAGGACTTTGGTTTGGGTGAGGGGACCGATGAGAACCGGGACTCTGAGGCCCCGAGGGATTGCTTGGCTCAGTGTGAACCTTGCCGCAGGCCCGTGGAGGGATTGTGCAGAGGCTCACGGGGCGGGCCACCGGCAGAGTGGAGTGTATGAGCTGCGGCTGGGCCGGCGTGTGGTCTCCGTGTGGTGCGAACAGCAGCGGGAGGGCGGAGGCTGGACCGTCATCCAGAGGCGGCAGGATGGCTCTGTCAATTTCTTCACTAACTGGCAGCACTACAAGGTGGGTTCTGGTGGCAGGAGTGAGGGCGCTCGCCCTGGGCGGGGAGGGTACCCCATCCCGATCCTCCTGCCCCTCCAGGTGGGCTTTGGCCGGCCAGACGGGGAATACTGGCTGGGCTTGGAGGCCGTGCATCAGGTGACCAGCCGTGGGGACCACGAGCTGCTGATTCTGCTGGAGGACTGGGGGGGACGCGGGGCACGCGCCCACTATGACAGCTTCTCCTTGGAGCCTGAGAGTGACCACTACCGTCTGCGGCTTGGCCAGTACCATGGTGATGCTGGAGATTCTCTCTCCTGGCACAATGACAAACCTTTCAGCACTGTGGATAGGGACCGGGACTCCTATTCTGGTAAGGAGAGCTTTTATTCTGGTGGGAGGGCAAGGAGGTGGGACCGCTTTTCTGATTAGAGTGGGGAGCAGTAAAGCCAAGTTTTCCCTTCTGGGAGGCCAGACATGGCTCAGCATCGAAGAGCACATACTGTTCTTCCTGGGTTCGGTTCTCAGCACCCACACTGGGTAGCTCCCAACAGTCTGTAACTCTAGCACCAGGAGATGTGATACTTCTAGCCTCTGTGGGCACCTACGCTAGAATAAATGTTTCCCTTGTGGTGGTACAGGGCTGCAGTCTCAGCTCCAGGAGATAGAGGCCTGAGGGGCAGGAATTCCAGGTCATCCTTGGGATGGCAAGTTCAAGGTCAGCCTGGGCTACAGGATACCCTGTCTCAGAAACTCCCATAAGGCTAAGTACCTCAGAGTAAGGAGGCGTCTATGCTAACCAGAGAACAAGGAGCTTTTATCCAGATGGGGGGCAGGGAGCCCAGAGTCCTCTGATGACTAAAAGACCCAGGCAGCCTGTGCTGTGTGCAGGGCTGAAAGTGAAAGCTAAGATTCCTTTAATGGAGGGACAGAGCCGGATAACCCTGCCATGTAAGCACACCCCGCCACTGAGCTATAAACCGAGTCTGTGTTTGTTCATTTTTGGGATAGGATCTCACTATGGAGTGCAGGCTGGTCCGAGACTCCAGACCTCTTGCCTCGGCCTCCCACACACTGAGATTACAGGTTTGTGCCAGCACGCCTGGAATAAACCTTCTAAAAAGGAAACAGAAGAGGCCCACCCCTGTCCCCTCACCAACGCCCCTCCACAAACACACACACACAAACACACACACGAATGAATGATAGATTACTTTGCAGAAAGGATGGGAAAGATATGCCTCTTATTTTGGCGAGGTGATAGGGAATTAAGGCTATGACTCTGAAGAAGAAAGTGAGAAGACAGAGTCTTTTATTTTGGTGACAAGATGGAGGATCAGGGCTTCTAGTCAGTGAGACAGGGAAGGTTGAGGGATGCCTGCAACAGCTTTGCACAAAGAAGTGCTGGTAGAGACTTTTATTTTGGTGCAAACACAAATTCTCTCTCTCCCCTCAGGTAACTGCGCCCTGTACCATCGTGGGGGCTGGTGGTACCATGCCTGTGCCCACTCCAACCTCAATGGTGTATGGTATCATGGAGGTCATTACCGGAGCCGCTACCAGGATGGGGTCTACTGGGCTGAGTTCCGCGGTGGGGCGTACTCTCTGAAGAAGGCTGTGATGATGACCCGGCTTGTGCGCCTGTGACTGTCCCGTGAGCACCCCGAGGGCGCTCCTATCTCCTTGAGCCGGTATCTTAGAGCAACACGAGGCGTCCACACACAGTGTCTGTCGTCCCTGTGCGCGCCCGGGCAGGATCACTCTCGGGGCCCACCATCCCCCTCTTCTTCCTCCTCTTCCTCCTCCTCCTCCTTCAGGTCCTCCAGGATGAGATGGTCCAGGTCATCCAGGAGGCCGCCCTGGCTGAGGCACGTGGCCACCGTGGAGCCGCTGCTAATGTGGGGGTTGCTGGGATGCAGCACTTTGGGGAGGTGGTTCTGCTTACGGCTCTTGGGGTGGGCACAGGATGTCCCAGGCACATGGGGCTCTAGGGGAAGGAGAGTTGCTGAGGTCCTGTGGGACTCTGGAGGTAAGAGGGGACGGGGGCTCTGCAGGGTGACTCACTGGAGCCAAATGACAGAGGTCAGAGGTCATAAAATTTACAGGTGTTGAAACTCTCTGGCATCCAGGACAGACCCACAGTTAGTGGAGTCCATGGGCCTAACAGGTTGGACACTATATAGCTGGTGGAAACTCCGTTGGGGGAGGGAGGGAGCAGCCAGCTCTAGGGAACCTTGGAGGACTCATGGAATGAGGGAGCAGCCCTAGGGGTCAATGCCCAGGGGGCGCAGAACGTCAGGTGCACACCGGGGCCTCACCTCTCCGATTGTAGCAATCTGCAGCTGAGCAGGAGTGGGTGTGTGTGCTTCGCCGATCCAGGTCGCGGTCCCAGCGTGGGGGCAGGATCCGAGTGGGGTACACAGGGAAGCCGCACCCGTAGCAGGGTGATGGGGACCCCATCTGTGCCCAGCCCCTGGGGGCCAGCAGGTCTGTGAGGGGCTGAGGGGGCAGCTGGGACAGGGCTGAGGGTGGGCTGGGGTGGGACAGGGCTGAGGGGAGGAGGGGGTCTGGGCCCTCACCGGAAGTTGTGGCGACACTTTGGGCAGTGGAACTCTGCCAGACCCCACATCTTGTCGTTTGGCACTGGTTCATAACGCTTCCTACACTTTCGACACCGTGACACCTGAGAAGATTGGGGGCGGGGAGGGACACCCAAAAGCTATCAGGGCTCAGTCAGTGTCTCTCGTGGTCTCAGAAGACTAGCTTCCGACTCCCGATCCCCCTGCCTCCACCTCTCTGGTGCTGGACTGAGCTGCTGGAAGCTCCATGGGAGGAGGAAGGGAGAAGCCAGCCTTAGGGCCCCATGGAGGATTCACCGGAGGAGGAGCCTGCATCACCGAGCCTGGTGTGTGGGCTTCAGGAGTGCTAGGCTGACTCTGTACCAATGAAGCCTCAGCTTTATCAGAAGCACGCTCATAATCAAGAGGTTAGGAAGCCAAGCCAGGCACGCAGTGTATGCCTTTAATCCTAGCACTCTGGCAGGCGGATCTCTGAGTTCCAGGCCAGCCAGGACTACATAGAGAGGCCCTGTCTAAAGAAAAAAAAAAAAAAAAAAAAAAAAGAAAAGAGGTTAGGAAGCCAGATTGGGGTTTGATTTATGCCATAGCTGTCAAAGCCAAGGGTTTGACTTCTCAAGTGCAAGGGTGAATGACTTCAGATATAGAAGTTGGGCTTGCCTGCCAATGCGTGAAGCCCCTGGTTACGAGCCCAACCCCACATGAACCAGGTGTGGAGGCAGGAGGATGAGGAGTTCAAGGTCATCCTCAGCTACATAGTAGGTCTGAGATCAGCCTGGGCTACATGAGACCCTCTCCAAAGAACAAGACAAGGGGCTGGGCGGCAGTGGTGCACGCCTTTAACCCCAACACTGGGGAGGCAGGAGCGGGCAGATCTCTGTGTGTTTGAGGCCAGCCTGTTCTACCAAGTGAGTTCCAGGACAGCCAGGGCTACACAGAGAAACCCTGTTTTGAAAAACCAAAAACCAAAACCAAAACTCCAAATCAAAAGCCAAAAGCAACAACAACAAAAACCTCAAAATTTCCAAAACCAAACCAAACCAAACCAAACCAAGGGACTAGGGAGATGGCTCAAAGGTTAAGAACACTTGTTATTTCTGCAGAGGATCCAGTGTCAATTCCCAGCACCCATGTGGCGCTGTGGTGTGCAGACATACATACAAGCTAAGATACTAATGTGCATAAGAACAAGTAAACCTAAAGAACTAAAAACTAAACACAAAGGGTGGAGAGATGGCTCAAAGGGTAAAGTGCCTGCTGTGCACAAGTCCCGGGTTCAGAGCCATAGCAGCCATAGAACTGCGAGGCATGGCTAAATGCGCCTATAGCCACTGCTGCCGGAGCTGAGACGAGGCTTGCGGGGCCATGCTGGCGGACCCAACCTGTTGGCTGAACTGATGAGCCCCAGGGGTTCAGTGGGAATCCCTGTCTCAGAACCTGTGATTGAGGGCAACTGAGAAACACACCCACCACCAAACTGTGTGTACACATGTACAGGCACGTGCACACACACCCACACACCCACCCACCCACACATACACACACACACACACACACACACACACACACACACACACACACACGCTCACACGTACTTGCACACAGAATTGGTAACCTTCAGCCAGACGTAATTTCTGGACACGGAGGTCAGGAATGGGGGTAGGAGGGACTCAAGCTAGGTGTGGGATATCACCTCCTTCCTCTGGGGCACACGGCGCCACCACACGTGGTCACAGGAGGAGCAGGCAAACTGTCGGTCCACGGCAGGGATGAGGTCGTCTTGGGCTCTTTGGAACATTCGAAGGTTGGCTTCCGTCAGGGGCAACAGAGAGGTGGCCACTGCCTGCAAGGTGGGTGAGCGCCGACGGCAAGGTCACCGCTGCCGTTAGAGCCCTCGACCAAGCTCCTCGCTCTAGCCCCTCGGGTGGGTATCCACCCTGCGTCTCCTCCCGGCCACACCGTCCAGTCCCAGCCACCAACGCACCTGGATGTCTCGGTCTTGCTTCATGTCCTCAGGGGGGTCCTGAGGAGAGACAGGGAAAGGGAGGGCAGAAACCGGAAAGGCCCTGGGGTGCTACACCCGTGTTTAGAGGGGGTTAGCCCCTGCCTGGGGCTCCTGGGCTGGAGACAGGACCCTGGGTCTCTACAGGTCCCACAGAGATGGAACGCTATTGCCTGTGTTGACGGCTTTCCAGTTAGCCACTGGGGCTGGTGGCACAAGCCTGTCATTCAAGCTACCTGGAAGGGCGAGGCGGAGGATTACAAGTAAATAGAAAGCTGGGGCCACGGCTCAGCACCAGAGCCCTTTCCTACAAGGTATCAAGTCCTGAGTTCAAGCCCCTGTACCGTAAAAACAGACAAAAGTGTAGTGTCCCGAACAGCCTTGAGAAGTGAACACATTTGCTAGTCTCATGTCCCACATGGCCCAGAATCTGCAATCACTGGATCTCGGCCCACAGAACCCAGAGCCCCGCGTGAGTCTCCATCTGCACAGGCCACACCCATGACGCCTGGCCACTCTGTGTGTTAGTGTGTGTCTGCCTGTGTACATGTATACATGTCCAGTGCCCACGGAGGCCAGAGGAGGGTGTCAGAGCCCCCGGAACTGAAATGCTTGTGAGCTGTCCCGAGTGGGTGCTGGGAATCCAACTGGGGTCCTCTGTGAGAGCAGCAAGTGCTCTTAACAGGTGAGCCATCTCCCTGCCCCTGGCCGTGTGGCTTTGAAATGCTCTGGGCTTTGGGGGCTGATCTACTGCTCCCCGCTGGGGGAGCTTGGTCAAGGTCCTCTCTCTGTGTGGCTCCTCACAGAGCCCAGGCTTCACCCCGAGGGGCTTGAGTTTGAATCCCGGAGGTCGGCTGCTGCTCTCTGGCGATTGCCATGACCCTGGGCTGTGTTTCTGTGTAACTGGGTTGCTCCCTGTGACCACGACGAGGGGTATGACATGAACCAAGGCCTGGAGGTCTGCCCACAGACGCTCTCCATGAAGCTACTTCCTGCTATTGCTATTTTATCGCTTTGCTTATGGACCTAAACCTAAAGAATAGTATTTGGTAGACCATTTTAGGTGCCCAGCACGGTGCTGCATGCCTGGATTCCCAGCACTTGGGAAGCAGAGGCAAGTGGATCTCTGAGTTCAAAGCCAGCCTGGCCTGTGTAGGGAGTTCCAGGACAGTCCAGGGCTGCATAGCGAGACCCTGTCTCAAACAAAACAAAACTTTAGTATGTCTTTCAAGCAAGTTGAGCACACAGGGTACCAGCTACACAAGCTGATTGGCTCATCCCTTCTCCTCCAATCAGTCCTCTTTCCTCCTCCTGCAAAGGACAGCTCCCTTGAGCCTTCTTGACATCCAGGACCTCCTTATCCCACCGTCCTGTCTCCCCCATTTGAGGTAATCAGAACCTAGTGAGCGCCTGCTGTTCGCAGGCTGCTCGGGAAGGGGAAGGAACCCAGGGGGCGAGGTGGGCACTCGGCGGTGGTTTGCTCCTTCTGCCCAAGGGAAAGGGGATTCTCCCCCTTCCTCTGAGGACGGAGGGAGGATGGGTTACCTGAGCGTCCAAATCGTTGCTCAGTTCCTGTCCGTCTTTCTGCTTGACACCTGGTGGGAGAACACGGGAGGGGCTCTTGAAGTGTGTGTAGGAGTTCCAGGCGGTGGAGCGCCTCACGTCAGGGGGAGCCAGGGTCGCTGAAGCCATTAGGCCACACCCACCCACTGTCTCCCTAAGGCTGACTCACCATACACGATAGACCGCCCTACTCCGGTGTGGTCGCTGCCAAACTTCCTCATGAGAGCCCCTGCCTTCTTGGGGGACACTTTCCCATGAAACTTCTCCCGGAGGCGCCTGACGCTCTTCTCCAACTGGGACAGAGGGGGGAATGAAGTCTGGTGTGTGTGTGGGGGCGACCGGGGGCAGCGCCCGCACCTTCATCCTCCTGAAGTTGACCCTGGCTCCGGGCCTCCGCATCCCCATCCCCCCCCTCCTCCCTTTAAGCCATTTCCTGGAAAAATCCAAAGTTCTCCAGGCTCTGGGGGAGGGCGGAGACTGCGGCTCGCCCCAGCCTCCCGGCTGCGAAGGTGAGGTCTGGCGGGGCGCGCGGGGGGGATGCAGGCCAGGCTCCCCTCGGTCCTCCTGACCCCTGACCCCGCAGCCCCGCTGTGCCCGGGGATGGAGGAGGGAGGCGGCCCGGGCAGGGGCGGCCCCGGGAGCGGTCTCGGCGCGGCCTGTCGCCGGCGACGCGGCCGTCCTACCTCCACGCCGTCCTGAGCCATGGTGCTGGCGGGGGCACACCTGGCCGCGCCTGGGTCCGGGCCCGCTCGGGCTGGGTGGCGCCGGCGCGGCTCCGCCTCCCCGGGGCCCCTCTTTCGGTTTCGTTTCTGCGCAAAGCCGGGGACCCCCGCGGGGACCCCACCCTGGTCGTGCGGCCCGGCGTCTGCCCCCCGCGCGCGCCCCTTTGGTGCTCCCGGGCGGTGCTCCCGGGCCTCGGCGCGCGCCTCGCCGCGTCCTGCGCAGCAGCGCGGCCTCTGCAGTCGGTCACATGTCCCCACGCTGCGCGGGGTCCGCGTCTTCACGTCCCCAGTGGGGGCGGGGCCGCACCGCGCGCCCGCGGGTCCCGGTGCTCCCGCGCCGCTCCTCCCCCGGGGAACCCGAAGCGTCCCAGGCCCTCCGGGGAGCTTTGCACCGCTCAGAGGCTCCAGTCCCTGCGGCATCTCTACCAGAGCTCCCTCCCAGCCTCAGTTTCCTCCTCTGTAAAATGGGCACGCAAAGCCGGGCGTGGTGACACACCTGCCACCCCAGCATCTGGAAGGTGGCGGCAGGAGGATCAGTTCAGGGTTGTCTAGGTCTACGTGGGACTCTGTTTAAAAAACGAAAAAGAAAAAAAGAAGTTGGGGGAATACCCTAGGTCAAAATGAAAGAACTTCTCCCGGCAAGCTTTACGGACAGGCCTGGGCTTTTCCCGCGTTCAGTCCCCTTCCTCCTGATGACCCTCTTCCTTGCCGCTTTTTGCGCTGGGATTGATTGGGTCTCATTGTGATCCAGGAGCACAGAAACCTCAGCGGGGTGGTTTCTCCTGGCGCCAAGCAGGGTGGACGCCACAGGTGCGGAGAATGGTGGCTTCTCGTCGAACCAGAAACCCTCACCACAGGGGCGGAAACGGAAACTGATCTACCCTCCTGCCTCGGCCCCTTTCCAGGGCCCCGCAGATTCGATGGCTGCTCACCGTAGAGGTTACCCTGGAACTTTCTATGTGGCTGAGGGTAACCTTGAACTCCCCATCCTCCTGCTTCCATCTTCTGGATGCTGGACTCACAGCTGTGCACCCCGGACTCTAACTGGATAGCCCCGGCTGTTCTTCACTGTATGGTCTGGTGTCCTTCAGCCTCACTCTCCCTAGCACCGAGTCCAGCTGTGAGCCTCCATGCCTGGTTTTCCAGGGGGAATAATGGCACTTAGCACAATGCGGGACATAGAAATTGCATCAGTCAGTGGATGACCTTTGGAGCGTCATGCAGGTTGGAGGCAGAGTAAGAACATGAAGAAAAGCAGACTCCTGCTCCCTAACGCCCAAGTAGACTTCTGGCTCCTAGGAATCCACTTTGTAAATTTAAGGGAGGAGTGAGATTCACGTGGACAGCATGTGTGAGGCCCTGGTTTCCCCCCACACCTGAAAAGAACGCCCTCACGTGGACAGTCATCAATAAATTATACTGAAATACTATAGCTGTTGTGGAAAATGGGATAGAAGCTCCTCAGGAAATAGAATGAACGTAAGACCTGTCAGTCAGCTCCTGGGGACTATTCCTGTGGGATAGGAAGCCAGCATGCTAAAGAATGCCCCATGATTGCTCCTGTGTGCATTGTGGCACTGTCCACAGGAGCCAAGATACGGAGCCAACCTACGCGTCTATTCATAGGTGAGTGGATAAGGAAAATGTGGTCTGTACACACCGTGGGATACTACGCACCCACAGAAAGAGGGAGCCTTACTTAGTATTTGCTGTAATAAGGATGATGCTAGAGGGCATTATGTCAGGGCACATAAGCCGTTAGACCTCACCCAGAGGAGACTAAGGCACTTGATGGAGAAGCAGAGCGGTGCAGCAGCAGCGCAGTGCAGAGGTGGGAGCGTGGGGAAAGGCCACTGGTCAAAGGTTACAGTGTTACAGCGAGAATGCAACAGTAAATTCCATTGTGTTGACCTACCGCTCAGGAGCCGCCTGACAGCTTCAAAATAGCTAGAAGAGACCCTGCAGGGTCACAGGAAGAAACATCCGTGTTTGCTTTGGTGACCACGCCAATGCTCCATTTCTTTCATGAGCCAGTCAGAACCTGGGCGGTGGTGCACACTTTTAATCCCAGCTCTCCTGAGGCAGGCACAGCTCTGTGAGTTGGAGGCCAGCCTGGTTTACAGGAGTTCCAGGACAGCCAGGACAACACAGAGAGACCCTGTCTTGAAAAACCAAAAAAAAAATTAAAAATTAAAAAAGTAAGTAAGTAAATAAATAAATAATTCAGAGCCGGGCTGTCGCTCAGTTGGTAGAGCACTTGTACCCACATTTAGAACCCTGTCTTGAGTCCCTAGCAGAACCTGGTGGCGTGTGCCTGCAATCCCAGCACGGGAGATAGAAGCAGGAGGATCAGTTCCAGGCTAGCCCTGGCTACATAGTGAATGGGAGGCCAGCCTGGGCTGTGTAGCAAAACCTTGTCTGTCTGTCTGTCTGTGAGGGCATTGTATGTGTGTGTGTGTGGGGGGGCATGAGTGCCATGGTGCATGTGTGGATGTCAGAGGACAGCTTGTGGAAGTTGAGTCTCTCCTTCCACATATGGGGCCTGGAGCTCGAACTCAGGTCTCCAGACTTGGCTGCAAGCACCTTTACCCACTGAGCCGTCTAGAGGCCGGTATGCCGGCTGCTAGTGAGTTGTGTCACCCGGCCTTTCCAGAGTACGCGTAGAAGCCAGCAACAACTGTGTGGAAGCTGAATCACCTCGCAACTCAGCCTTTCAGGCTACCTGGCCTCACTCCCACCAATTCTGTAAGTTCAAAGCCTGTTAGTGGATCCTGCCTCCGAGGGGGAAGGAAGGAGCATGATTTGAGCCCCAGGCTGCTGGGTGGAGGAGCCAGGTCCTAGCACCCATATGTTCACTCACAACCGTCTGTACCAGTTACAAAAGAGGGGGGTTGGGGATTTAGTTCAATGGTAGAGCGCTTGCCTAGCAAGCACGAGGCCCTGGGTTCGGTCCTTAGCTCTGGAAAAAAAAAAAAAAAAAAAGATAAAATAACAAAAGAGGACCTGACGTCCTTTTTTAGGGCTCCATGGATCTGCACATACATAGTCCACAAACATACATGCAAGCAAAACACCATATACATAAAATAAAATAAATACATCTACAAACGAACCAACAAAAAACCCGCTAGGGCTGTGGTACACACCTGTAATCCCAGCACGCAGGAGACAGAGGTGGGTGGGTCTACAGAGTGAGTTCCAGGAGAGCCAGAGCAATCCCGAACAATGAGATATTGTTTCCAAAATCCAAACCACCACAACAAAAGCTACTGGCTGGCAAGATGGCTCAGTGGGTAAATGTTCACCAAGCCTGACAAGCCAAGGTCCACCCCTCCCCAGAACCCTCACCGTGGAAGAAGAGAGAAAGAAAATAGCAAGTATGGCATTCTGACAACGATACTTACAAGGTGAGGCGTAACTCAGCAGACACCTGATTTGTGTTCCTCGGTGAAAAGAGTAGGTCTGGGACCCAGACGTGTACTGGATTGCGTGTGGTAGCACACACATGTGTGGTTCGGTTTGTCAAGTTCTCCTCATTGAATTTTTTTTTTTTCCCCAGAATGCATCTCCAGGCAGAGATGGAGGAAGCTACCTGTTCAGGGCTGTGCTCAGGTGAATTTGGTGAACATGGAAACTGCAGGCTGGGACTGGGCCCAGTGGAGAGAGCACTTGCCTAGCATGGAGCCTTGGGCCCCATCCCAGCACTGAACCGTCTGAGGAGAGACTTTAAAACCTGTCTGCTCAGTAAGAACATTTTATTCCCAGGAAGGAAGGAAGAGGAGATGAGAACTCGTGGGAACGATCCTTTTAAACTCTTCAGGGAGCAGTGTGTGTGAATTAATGGGCTACTTTGCAGCAGGTGAGGTGTTTGAACCAGTATGTCTCTGACTTTTACATGTTGCCTTTTTCCTTTTTCAGTATCGATCGGCCGTGTCGTAGGGCGTGCCTTGGCAGAAGTAGGGGCGTCAGAGAAAAGCTTGGGGGACTCCATTTTCTCCTCCTACCACATGGGGTTCAGGGATCAATTGTAGGTCTTGTAGGTGTCACGTTTGGCAGCAGAGGGTTCTAGCCGCCGAGCCCTCTTGCCAGCCCCTCGTGTGCTCTTCTCTTTCCCCATGTGATGCCCCAGACTACCAGGGAATTCAGCCAGCAGAGAGGTCATCACCAGGTGGGCATCTGCTCTTTGACCTTGGATCAGAATCTACAAAATAAATAAATATGCAGTCTTTCAAACTCAGTCTCGGCCAGTGAGTTATCAGCAACAGGAAGCACATAAGGACACCCAGTGTCAGAGAGTAAGAAAACTATGTATGTGTGCCCTACTTTTTTTTTTCTTTAAGGGTTGAGTATAACCCAGGACCTCCCAAGGCTACATAGGTATGCTACAGCTGAGCCATATCCCTAGCCCCTCCCTGGAGGATTCTAGGCAGGGGCTCTACCACCGAGCCACGCCCTGAGCCCTCTATTTTAGAGGGAGAGGCCTTTGAGGTGCTGACCTTTTTTTTTTTTTTTTTTTTAAAGATTTATTTATTTATTATGTATACAACGTTATGCCTGCATGTACACCTGAATGCCAGGAAGAGGGCACCAGATTTCATTACAGATGGTTGGGAGCCACCATGTGGTTGCTGGGAATTGAACTTGTGACTTCTGGAAGAGCAAGCAGTACTCTTAACTTCTGAGCCATCTCTCCAGCCCCGAGGTGGTGACCATAAAGCAGAGTCCCACTGAGAATGGCTCAAGCTCTGCAATGGGATGAGAGTGGACCTGGCGGAGGGACAGCGAGGGCAAAGGTTCTGTGGTTAAAATCAATATGGCTGTTGGAAGGACACAGAAGAGGCTTGGTAAGTCAAGACGGTGTCAGGCAGTGGTGGGTGACAGGCAGGTCATGAATGATATGCCCACTGAGAACCGGGGCAGAATGGAATGTCTGTCCTTTGGCTAAGGTTTCGCCCATCCTCGGAGACTTCTCCTCCCTCCCTGGTCTCAGGACTCAGTGTTTGAGTCCATCTGGCCTGGGTGGAGATGAAATACTTCAGATGGTCTGGTCAGTCGCTTTGGCTGAGGGAGCACCCATAGGAAGGTGGGCTTACCTTAAGCCGCTAGAAAGATGAGCGGGACAATTAGTCCTTCAGTGAGATACTGCTCTTTTCCTCCCCAGATCCCAATCCTTGTGCAGAAAGCTGTGGACAGCAGCCACGCAGGGTCTCAAGTCTGCCCTCTTGTGGTGGCTTGGGGGAGAGCGGCTCTGTTTAATTCTCTGGTGATGGGATGTTGGAGGGGCCTGGGAGGTGTCTGCTTGGTGGAGGCGAGGAAGTGTGTCACGGGGTGTGGGGTGGTGAGCTTTGAGGTTTCAGAAGCCCGTGCAAGGTCCAGGGTTGCTTTCTCTCTGCCTGCTGCCCGTGGAGAGGGTAGAAAGCTCTCAGCGACCTCTCCAGCACTGCGTCAACCGCACCCTGCTGTACCACCCGCCTTTGATAACGGGCTGAGCCCCTGAAGCTGTGAGCTGGTCCCAATTAAATGACTTTTTTACGGCAACCGAACAGTGACCAAGACATTTTTCTAAGTTATTCAGAAAAAAAGTGTAACTCTTCTTCTATGGCTTTTCTTAACATGCTCTCCTGAATCTTGGAGTTTCCCTCGACATTTTCAGCTTCCTTGCTCTTCCTTTAAAGCCTCACTCCCACCTTGTGTTCATTCTTAAATTCTGTTATTATTAGTGGGACTGACAACGCAAAGGTTGTTTGTATCATTGCAGCCAAGGGTGGTCATGTATTCCGAGGATGTCTGAAGCTGCTCCAGTGGTGCCTTCTGTCCCGCATCTCCATCCATCGGCCAAAGCCTGAGGCATAGCTCCTGGACCAAGAAAGGAGATGGGAGGCTAGGCGAGGAGAGGCTGGCATCCCCTCCCCCACCTCGCCCAGCTGGTCTGCTACTGTGACAGTGAGGAGCTCAGCTTTGGGCCTGGGACGGTCACTCCCTCAGTAAGGGGCACCTGCAGTGCTGAGTCCCCACACCCCGCATGAAAGCCAGGTAGGTGTGGCAGACGCCTGGACTGTTCACACCCAGGAGGTGGCAGAGAGGAGCCCCTGGGGCAAGCTGGCCCGCCGCCAGGCTACACAGAACCAGTGAGCTCTGAGTTAAGTGAAAGGCCTCTTCTCTGCGTAGAGAGGAATCACCCTCTGGCCTCCAAAGGCGCATGTGCTCCCCACTCCACAGATCCACACACATGTGAACACACATTCACTCAAGAAACTCGTCAGGTAGTGACCCACTACAAGGTCTCTGGTCTCCCAGCTGCTATCACTGGAGATTTGGGGGGATGTCCCCTTTTGCCTGTTCACTGCTCTCTGTCGGATAACTGAGTCATCACACACACACACACGAACCATCTCCACAAGCATGAGAGCCCCTGGAGTTGCCCAGTGCCAACCCGTGCCTCCGCTTTAGGCAGAACTGACCCCAGACCTGTGGCTGACAGGCGCAATGCAGAGTTCCGCTTTTGCACCGACTGTGCGTCATCACCGAGCTGGGATGGCCTTTGTGGTGGCGCGGCTGCTTTGGGTCATCCCTGCTTCATGTGCGTAACTCCTCAGCCAAACTCCTGTTAGTCACACAATGACTTGTTACTTTGGTCTGTCGTGGGCCCCCTTTCCAGAGTGAGGTGTGTGTGTGTGTGTGTGTGTGTGTGTGTTTTGTGTCTCCACAGGGGAAGTCTCTCACACGACAAGTCCAATGAGAAAGGGTTACTTTTTGAGCTCACGGAAATGCTCTCATGGCCAAGAAATGACCCAGCGTGTGACTGATGCTCATCAAGGTGAGTTGACTGAGCAAAGCTGTGCTGTGCCTCTCGGCGTAGTTAACTAAACCAGTGAAGCAACAGCTGGAGGCCGGCCAGGTGCAGCCCGCTGTCAGGAGCATGTTGCAGAATCACATTTAGCCAGGACAGGTTGCAGGCCTCCCCTAAGATCCCCTTCCACGCCTCTGGTGACGTGTTGCACATGTCAGGATCTTCCAGGCAGCAAGGGGGCGCGGCTCTCCTCACTCCTAACCTCCCGTGTTTGCAGCCACGTGGGAATCCAACTCAAATTCTGTTCCTCTCGAGCCCCAGCCTTAGCTTGTGAGTCTTTGATGCCCAAGAGCCCTGCAGGGCCAGTGAGAGGGCACAGTGGATGATGGTGTTGCCACCAAGCCTTGTACCCTGTTTGATTTTGGGAATGCATATGACGGAAGGAGAGACTCAGCTCCGCAAAGCTGAACTCTGACCTCTACATGTGTGCGCGCACACACACACACACACACACACACACACACACACACACACAACCTTAAAAAGTAAAAGAAAGTGAGCCAGGCATGATGGAGCACACCTTTAATTCCCAACCCTCAGGAGGAAGAGGCAGGCAGATATCTATGAGTTTGAGGCCGGCTGGGCTACAAAGTAAGTTCCAGTCAAAGCTCCATAATGAGACTCTCTTTTTTTCTGGGAAAAAAAAAAAAAAAAGAACCAGAAAAACTGAAAACAAAAAGGAAAGAGAATGAAAGAAGAGGAAGAGGAGGCACTCTCTGGGGGCGACTCTGCCGGCGCCAGCATTCCAGAACTTCCTGCTACAGAACAGAGAGGAGTGCTCCTTGTTAATGAGCCTCCTAGGTTTATGGCAGCTTTTTTGGTTTACTGTGCTGCCATCCACAGGCTCAGGCATGCCAGGCAGGCCCTGCTCTGCTCAGCAACATCCCGGTCCCTCACTAGAGATTCTGGGCAGCTGGCTGCTGCTGAGCCCGCCTTCTGGTGACAGTGAGCACAGTAAGGTGGTGGCGATGTCACACTTACCTGGTGGTGTCTTTGCCCCTGCCACTGGCCTTGATAAGAAGTGTGAGAAAGGGCCGGAGAGATGGCTCGAGAGGATAAGAGCGCTGGCTGTTCTTCCAAAGGTCCCGAGTTCAATTCCCAGCAACCACATGGTGGCTCACAACTATCTATAATGAGATCTGGTGCCCTCTTCTGACCTCCTGACTCACATGCAGACAGAACACTGTATAATAAATAAATAAATCTTAAAAAAAAAAAAAAAGACAAGTGAGAGAAAGGTCGGAAAGCATTGAGGGATGGAGGAAGAAACACCACCAGCAGCCGTTAGGTAGGGCGGGGAGGAAAGCACACACAGAACCTGGCCTTTGGCTGTTTTCTCACCCTGAAATGTAGTCATTGCTGCCTTTCTCACACAGAAACTTTTCTTTCTTTGCTTTTTCTCCTTCTGTGTTTGCTGGTGCTCAGAGCCAGACCCAGGACCATCATACATGTCTGTCACCAGGCTGGAGTCAGGTCATACAGGTGTTCTAACTCCCTGTACCCACAGTCTCCTCTGTCACAATGTGCCCATTTGTTCTTGTATTTAGAATGCTTAAGATGGAATCTATATTAAGTATGGACTGTAGTGTCTTTCTACATTGTATGCTTTGCTCGGACAGCAAGGGCTGTGGGAATTTTCAAAGCTTTCATAGAGTCTCACAAAGTACAAATGGTACATGAGTGGATGATGTGTTGACAGATGGTCAGATTGCCCGTGGCTATGAGGTCATCCCGTAGTAGAAAGGTAGCAGGGACATGATCTTGGTCTCAGCCCCAGTCCCACCTTGCATGTCCATCCTTCAGAGCACTGTCTTTTCTGGTAGGCAGTGTGATCAGTGGGGACATTGATTTCAACGCAGCTGCAGGGCACCCTGGAAAGGGACAGCTTGTCTGAAGTCATCAAGGCTGCAAGGGCCACCACCGTGGCCTGAGTGTTGGGAGCAGTTCAGTACCACAAAAAGTGACCCATCCAGCCAGGCCTCTGTGCAGCATCCCGGAGGGCTCAGTGAGGCTTGATGAGCACCTTTAGCCCCCCTCGATGCAGCACCATGGAGAGACACCCTTGCCTGGGGACCGGGAACCTCGGCAGTTTGGCGACTCCAGCCCCGTGTCCCAAAGCCCCGTTCAGCACTACAGACAGCAGCATGGGTTGGGCGGGACACACCAGCCCCTCAGCCACCACACCACACCCCTCTCTCCAAGGTCCTCAGCACGGACGGACAGATCTCCGCCGGGTTGTCAGGGAGGCCACAGCCCGGCTCCTCTAGGGCCTCGCTCGCCACCATGTAGTCATCTGCAGGTAGCTCCCTTCAGGTGGGGCTGCGGGAGCGAGCACCTGGGTCGGCCCTTCTGTTCCAGTGTCCTTGTCAGCACTGCGGACAGCTCCCGCAGGCCACCTTGGGGACTCTGTTCAGGACCACGGACAGCGAGGGCCTGGGCGGAGCAGCACCTTGGTTAATTCCGAATCCCTGGCTTCCCCAGTATCACCTGGGGGGACCCCAGGCCACCTCTCAGCTCCTGCTTGTCAGTCAGCCACTCTACATCGGTTTGTTACACTGTGCAGACCTGTGTCCTCTCAGCAATGGCTTTGTCTACAAGAGGCTCATCCATCTACTTATGCAGAACTGGGTTACCCAGCTCAACCTGTTTCTGGGTCACCCAGCTTTTTCTTTGCATCTACCTTCAAAAAAATTTGGAGCAGGGTCTTGCGTAGCCCAGGCTGGCCCCAGACTCACTATGAATGCATGGTGGACTCCTGGCCCTTCTGCCTCTACCTCCTGAGTGCTGAGGGTACAGATGTGCACCGCCACAGCCAGTTTACATCTTTCTGGGGACGGAATCCAGGGCTTCAGGTGTGAAAGGCACACACTCTATCAACTGATCCACAGCCCCAGCCCTGTTTTGGTTTTTATTTTACTTTATTTTATTTTGTTGGCTTTGTTTTTCAAGACAGGCTGTCTCTGTGTAGCCCTGGCTGTCCTGGAACTCAGTTTGTAGACCAGGCCAACCATGAACTCATAGAGATTTGCCTGCCTTTGCCTTCTGAGTACCCCCACCTCCTGGCTAAAGTTTTTTTTTTTTTAACTTGTTTTTATAATGTCTATGAGACAGCAAGGCCGTCCTGGAACTTACTGTATAGCTTAGGCTGGTCTTGAGTTCACAGAGATCTTCCTGCCTCAGCCTCCTGAGTACTGGGATGGTAGGCATGCTCCAGCAAGCCTGGCTTACCTGCTGTTTGTGAAAAACCCTTTGCTAAATGCGGACAATACCGATCATGCTATACGACTGGGCTCCAACTACTCAGATATGGGTAACTGAGGTTCAACAAAGACCCTAGAAGTCCCTTCCATTCCAGTGAAGGCACACTTTGCTAATTTTGTGCTGGACATGAGGATAGAGAAGACAGGAAGTAGATATTTGGGAGTCATGGGGCACTGACCCTTCTGAATAACCCGTATTTCATGGCTTTCAGTCCACCTTTGACCAGATCACAGTTTTTTCCTTCCTGTATCCCTTTCTTCCTTTTTTGATTCCCTTCCTTCCTCTTTCACTCTCTGTCTCTTTTCCTTCTTTTCACCCCCTATTTCCTTCCCCCTTTTTCATTCTCTTTCCTTGACAGGGTATCACTATATGGCCTAGGTGAGCTGATTTTCAGTTCACTCTCCTCCTTCATCAGGCTCCATATGCTGAGATGGCCGGTGTGCGCTATTGTGCCTGGCTGCCTGGCTGCCTTGCTGCCTCGCTGCCTGGCTGCGTCTGTGCATTTAATAGCCACCCATCCTCCAATCTTTATGCCCCTCCCTGTCACCTCACACAGCCAACACTATTTTGCCAGTGTTTATCTCAGTTAATAATTATACACTGATGTGTTTTGTCACTTGCTTGCTTCCCCTGGAGACAGTGGGAACTTGGAAGGTGGCCTGTGCCTCAGAGGTAGAGCATGGGCCTGCAGTCTACCAGAGAGGTGTCGGGGAGCATGGCTCAATGGTAGAAGCCTGCCTAGAAGGCCCCAGGGAAGGGACAGGCCTTGGCTATGGTGGAGCACCTGCCTACCATGTAGGAGGCAGTATCCAGCCTCATAAAAATGCCGGCACACACCTGTCATCCTAGCACTGGGGAGAGAGGGTGAGCGAGCACCCTTGACCGTGAACCTCCACTGTCTGCATCTCATCCTGGGTGGCCCCGCCCAGGTGCGAAGAGCTAAGCTTAGTTGGAATGACCCAGGCCGAGAAGCAGCATACACCCGAATGGATGCCAGGTTCCCGGGGCCCCTCCCCACGCTGAGGCCATCTTCCGCCTGCCTCTGGGTAATGCTCCAGTTAGCCATGGCGCAGAGCGAAGTCAGCACGAGCACCCTGACTGTTGTTACGGCCTAAGCCATGATGAAGATCCAGGACATGTAGCTGGCGAGTCTGCCAGGAGCAGGGGAGGGACAACCGGGGTGGCCACTGGTAGTTTGGATGTAAAATGCCACGCCTGCCCCAGGCTCGTGCATTGGGACACCTGGTCATCAGCTGGTGGTGTTGTTTTGGAAGGTTGTGGGACTTTTAGGAGTCGGGTAACTGGCGGCGGGTGGGTTTCAGGCTTTCCAGTATGGCCCAACTCTCCGTTCCTTTTCTGCTTCTGGGCTGTGGAGGCAATGTGACCAGCCCGCCTGCTGCTCCTACCACCGAACCTTTCCCACCGCAACAGACCGACCCCTGCGAGTCCCGCCGATCGCTTCTTATCAGGGATTCTGTCACAGCAGCAGAAGAGCAACTGGGGTGTTCCCACCTGCCATAGAGGCTGTCAGCCTTTGTGGAAAGGGCTGCCCACCCAAACCTCGGAGTCCCGTAGCCTCTCCGGGCAGTGGAGGCGGGTGTGACAGTCTGTCCTCACCATGTGCTTCTTGGGCTTGTCTTGGTGATATGGCAGCTTCCTTTCCGCCAGGCTAGGTCATCTGGGTGTGACCTGGAGGGGCAGGGAGGGGTGTCCCTTGGTGTGTGAGGTGATCAGGAAGTTACCCTCAGTTACCAAGGAGAATCCAGAGCGTGGGGCCAGGGTGTAGGTGGGGCTTGGGTCCACACCATGCTTAATTTTCAATTTTCATTTATTTACGTGTTTAACGTACATTAAGTGTGGGGTGGCACAGACATGTCCGTGCTATAGAGGCCAGAGGACAGCTTTCAGGGATTGGTCTTCACCTTCCACCATGTAAATCCCAGGGACAGAACGCAGGTCATCAGACTTGCTGTCAAATGCTTCTACCCACTGGGCTGTCTGGCCATGATGGTACAGCTGGGTGACACTCAGGGGAGGAGACTCATCCAGGCATGTGAAGGGTGGGCTGTAGAGCTGAGGGAACTTGAGGGTCGTGGCTAAGGACTGAGGGTCCAGTTCCAATTGCCTAGGAGGCCCCTGGGGGGTGCTAGATAGAGGTGTGCCTTGGGGTACCCAGACAGGCTGCAGGTCTGCGGCTGTGGAGGGGCAACTCGAGGTCTATGAGTGTCCTTGAGCTGCATCCTGAGTGTAAACTCAGGCCATCACCACGGTGCCTCGGCCAACAGAAAGGTAGTTTCAGGAGAGCATGGGTAGATTTTGATGTTTTGAATATTGCTATTTTGTTGTTGTTGTTGTTTGAGACGGATTTCTCTGTGTAGTTGTCCTGGCCTTGCTTTATAGAGCAGGCTTGCCTTGAACTCACAGCGATCTGCCTGCCTCTGCCTCCCTGAGTGCTGGGATTACAGGCTTGTGCCACCGTGCCTGGCGAATATTGCAATTTTCAGATTCAGTACAGGGGCTCAAACTCAGAGCCTCTTGAATTCTAGGCAAGAACTTTATAGCTGAGCCATGCCCAGCCCCTCACATGGGGACTCTAGACAGGGGTTCTACCAATGAACCACATCCTCAGCTCTCCTTTTCCTTGCCCCCTTTTTTCTTCTCTCTCTCTCTCTCTCTCTCTGTGTGTGTGTGTGTGTGTGTGTGTGTGTGTGTGTGCTGCCTGTGGAATCATCTGTGTATGTGTGTTTTGAGCACAGAGAGGTCAACTGGAGGTAATGTTCTGTATCTCTCTTCACCTAATTTGTTTGTTTTCTGAGACAGGGTTCCTCTGTGTACTTGGCTGTCCTGGACTTGCTTTGTAGACCGGGCTGACCTCACAGAGATCCACCTGCCTCTGCCTCCTGAGTGCTGGGATTAAAGGTGTGCACCGCCACCACTCGGCTCTTCCCCTAATTCTTTGATTG